TTATGGTAAGAAGAAAAAATAATCATTACCTATGAATACCGCTCGGCACACGCAGTCAAGAATCAAATCTCACGCACGTAACCAGAACCGCTCCCCCCCCCCACAAGCTTCGTATATGAATAGAATATTCTCTAAATTCACAAACGGAAGTTCAAAGGATGCAAATGTAGCCATTTTTCACAAACCAAACACGGAAATTTCGTACTGATTGTGTCTTCTAGGCTGTCCGAATCACACAAAATTTTTCACTCGTTCTGGATGCATAGGGCAGACACACCATAGTTATTACTCAGGTTCAGAAATGCAACAAAAACACGACAAAAGCAATGCTCACCCAATCACGCAGAAGTCGTAATCGAGGTTGTATTCGAAGCATAGTGACACGTTCACAATTACTCCGAAAGGTAAAATCCAGCATATCTTCCGCCATGCCACCCAGGCCAGCGCGTTCCACCGTCTTGAGCGCTGAAATGTCGTGCTTGTTTGGAGAAGCTTCATCAAAAATAAAAAGTGAAAATCTGCACATGCGCTGGATCGCCCTTATAAACTTCCTTTTACAAAAGATGCTAGGAACCTAAACATTCGAAAGGTTAGGAACTCTCAACTTGTTTGTGGATGATTTACTTCTTTTTATTTTATACTTATTCAAAATTGTTCAGTCCAGTATGAGGGCAGCGAGCTATTAGGGAATCCTGGAATTCGTTTTCGGTGAACTCAAAGCTAAAACGCTGAATAATAGTAAAGAGCGGAAGCACTAACTCTGACATAATTGAGCAAGAGCTGCAGTCGGAAGGCAACACAAAGGCACAGCGACGAGATGGCGAAGTGAAAAAGTCCGATGACGACAGGCAAGAAATTGGTGGCGATCCATGTCTGGCCGCGTTGGTAGTGCTCGGTGAGAATTTTCAGTGGAAACGGTACAATGAAAAAGACGAACTGCACGATGGCGATGATGCGAATATAAGTGAAACTGAAAAGAAAAACCATTAGCGTTGTTAATTTGTCATCAAATTTTGGAAAATATCCAGACCCTCCTTCACTACCCCCATGTCATCAGAATATGACGTCACCTGTTATTACCGTCAAGCAAAAAGAGGTCTACAACAATCGCTATAGCACCTAAATATTGGCTGAGGCTCCGGGACAGCACAATATTGAGAAATCGCTATAGCCTTGAATTGCTACATAATCTCCCAGTCTTGTAACTGGTGGATACGTTTAGTGACAGTAGGTTTGACTATGCAATTATCGCTTTTGACCAGCGTTTCAGAGACGTCGTAATCGTCTATGGTTCTCGACGACCTCGTTGAGCTCGTACCGTGAACCATGTTTCCGTGGGAAAATCTTCTGATGTCGTCGGTGTAGAAGGCTGTCATGTAACCCGGAGCCTCAGCCAATATTTAGGTGCTATAGCGATTGTTGTAGACCTCTTTTTGCTTGACGGTAATAACAGGTGACGTCATATTCTGATGACATGGGGGTAGTGAAGGAGGGTCTGGATATTTTCCAAAATTTGATGACAAATTAACAACGCTAATGGTTTTTCTTTTCAGTTTCACTTATATTCGCATCATCGCCATCGTGCAGTTCGTCTTTTTCATTGTACCGTTTCCACTGAAAATTCTCACCGAGCACTACCAACGCGGCCAGACATGGATCGCCACCAATTTCTTGCCTGTCGTCATCGGACTTTTTCACTTCGCCATCTCGTCGCTGTGCCTTTGTGTTGCCTTCCGACTGCAGCTCTTGCTCAATTATGTCAGAGTTAGTGCTTCCGCTCTTTACTATTATTCAGCGTTTTAGCTTTGAGTTCACCGAAAACGAATTCCAGGATTCCCTAATAGCTCGCTGCCCTCATACTGGACTGAACAATTTTGAATAAGTATAAAATAAAAAGAAGTAAATCATCCACAAACAAGTTGAGAGTTCCTAACCTTTCGAATGTTTAGGTTCCTAGCATCTTTTGTAAAAGGAAGTTTATAAGGGCGATCCAGCGCATGTGCAGATTTTCACTTTTTATTTTTGATGAAGCTTCTCCAAACAAGCACGACATTTCAGCGCTCAAGACGGTGGAACGCGCTGGCCTGGGTGGCATGGCGGAAGATATGCTGGATTTTACCTTTCGGAGTAATTGTGAACGTGTCACTATGCTTCGAATACAACCTCGATTACGACTTCTGCGTGATTGGGTGAGCATTGCTTTTGTCGTGTTTTTGTTGCATTTCTGAACCTGAGTAATAACTATGGTGTGTCTGCCCTATGCATCCAGAACGAGTGAAAATTTTTGTGTGATTCGGACAGCCTAGAAGGACAATCAGTGGCTACATTTGCATCCTTCAAACCTTCCGTTTGTGAGGTTAGAATATATTCTGAAGCATACACGCAGCTCTGCGCGGGGGGGAGGGAATGAACTTCTGATAACGTTCTGCGTAAGATTTGATTCTTGACTGGATGTGCACTATTCAGAACATATTTTTCTTTTGACCATCATGCGTGACAAGTATTTTTGACCGAGTCTTCCAAAACAACAAAATTCAGCTCATGA